AAATACCTTTGTTTGTTTAAAGGTGTTTTGTAGCAACAAAAAATTTCTTTTTCCACTAAGGCTAGTTAAAGCTGTAGTATACCCATTTCTACCAAATAAACCTACCACTAGCACACTAACAACTTGAATTGCAAAGCCCTTTGAGAGAATGAGTAGCACTGATCTGCAAAATGCTGTCAGAATATTTTAGATTTGGTGTTATCTTGTTTGAATGACCCTGGAAAGGGAGAAGGTGGTAACAATGAAGCTTCAGTGGAGGCTTTGCCTGGACTTATCCTCATACTCAGCAATGGACAGTTCATTTCCAAAGTGGTCCCTCTGAGATATGGAACACTGCAGCTTTAATAGCCGTATCTAGATTCCCAACCAGATCTCCCTTTTTATCATAAATTATCCAAAAAGAAGCCACTCTAAATAATAAATTAAATATTACTTATAAAAAGTACACCCCAGACCCACCCACCCATCCCCCAAACAAGCTGACAATTCACAAAGTTCAGAATTGTCAGGTTTACCCTACAATAATAAAAAACAGCATTTCTCCTCCTCTCCAACATTCCTTTCTTGCATCTGAAAATACGCTTTCAGCACACAGTGAGATCCCTTGGCCCATGCATCTGTGACTTCTTGCAGAGTTTTGCTGTTGCTCTCCAACCAACAAAAAATTATAGGATGGCAATGTACAAAGGCTCTCTACTGAGAGCAGGAGAAGAAATCCTTCAGAGTGCAGCCAGAAGTCGCCAAGTGAACGTTACCCAACAGTGGCAATGCAGAGCGCAGGAGTAAGATGTATTTGTGGATGTGGGCGTGGTATTTGGTCTCCTATATAACCTCACTGACCAGGAAATACTCAGGCATTTATTTTCATCATTTTGGAAGTAGGTATTTGGATAGCAAAGGACACTGAAACATGGGAATGTGTCTTTTTTCATTGGAATGGAATATCACACAAAATGTCTATGATTTTCTAAGTATCTACAGTAATTTAAAACATTGGAATCAAGCAAAAAGCTTTTCTCTGCAAGATTTAAGTGATTTCTGAAATTCATGAGAGAAATAGACATTATGAGTAAAATGTTGCTCTGAAAGAAATTTTTAAAAGAGAGAGAGATGGTAGACGTGAGTATATGCCTGCTTCTGCAGCTCTAGAATATTATGGGATCTGTGTTGTATACATGGTTATGAACGGGCTAGGATACTAGCCTCTGGCCTTCGGACAGTGTGCAATTGCATGAAGTAAACTAGTTGATTGAGGGAAGGAAAACAACCTTGTGCCACATCTATTTTAGGGTTCAGATGATTTTGTTTTCTGTAAGCATAACTAAAACTAGGGAATTTTTTCTATTTGTCTCTGTCTCATGGACTAGAAATGGAAGTTCTAAAACCACAAGTTTGAGTCTGGGATCCAATTTCATCTGAAATGGCACGGTGATTTCTTTAGAGGTGACTTTTTTTTTTGTTGGAGTTATAGTTCAGCTGCCATATATGAAACCCTCTATTAAATTTGGAGGAGATTTTAGTTATTTCTCTAAACAAAATCAAAAGACAGATGTATCAAAAGGGTGGATAAGAATGAGTAATCATCTTCCAATACAGACTATGAAGGTTTCCAGAAAAACCTACTTAGAAATGCTTTATTGGAAAAGCCGGTGAGTGCCAAACTTTAAAGTTTCCAAATATTGTTTGGAGCAACACACTAATGCAGGGTATCTCTCCTTTTGTAGCTCCTACCAAGGCAGAGGACCAAACATACATGTCGTTTTGACCACTCCTTATTTCGAAGAGAATAATGTTATATCCAATCTCTCATACGAAGTTTTAATAAATTCACCTCTTATATCCCTGGCTTGATCTGTTTTTTCTCTCTCCCTCTCTCTTTTTTTCCCCCCAGATTATTCAATTGAGTGTGCATTTTATAACACCCAAATGTAAAGTTCCATTATTTAAATATTCTAGAAGCTTATAGCCCTATTCTACAAAGAGGTAGCTATGAGTGTTTTTTTTATTGAATGCGAATCACTAAGAAACATTTAACTTTTGGCTACAGCATCCTCCAAATACGCTTTATGCATTTTGAGCTATCTGCATTTTTGTGCGTTTAACAAGTGCAGAAATTTCTAGAGGAAAGAAAAAGAGCTTTCTTATCGGTATGAAATACAAAAGAAACGTACCAAACTTTTTCAAGAGGAGGCTCTGGCCTGACAGTTCAGTGCAGTGTAGAGGAGGACTGAGCAGGCCCTGCCAAGTTTTATTTTCTTCTTTTTCAGGGAGAAATGAGCCCTGGTGGCAGAGCTGCTGGTTGGCTGTCAAACATCACCCTATGGGAGTCAGAGAGATTTATGAGCTTAAAGAGCCCTGGATGTTATGAACTAGGCTCGAAGTAGGAACAAAATAGAGGCTATCTTGCAGTGTTCACACATTGCTTCTTGTCAAGAGATCAGAAGACTGGGAAATTAAAAAATGACCTGAAAACTTGAGCAGGCAGTTGTATACATATGTGAACTCTTTGAGATAGTGGGGAGCAGAGTTTTACAAAAGCTGTGGTGAAGTCACTGCGCACTAAAACCATTGGGTAAAGGGCACTAGAGTCTCTTGAGAGGATTTAAATGGATTCTACTATATCTTCAAGGCATGAATCAAAGCCTTATTAGCATTACAAATTACTAAAACAAACCATTGTATTTCTTTAATGAAGAAAGTTTTAAGAGCATGCACCAGAAATATACCTCTCACCGAAAACAGATAATGCATATGTTCGTGTAGTTTTACCAATTTTTATTTATTAAGGTCAGTGACTTTGACTAGAGTCAACTAGAATTTTGTGAAATTCTAGTTCTCTTGATTGTCCAGATACAGTCTATAGATTGAAGATGTGACTCTGAAATTTGAGACTTGTAGCCAGTTTCAAACAGAGCACTCAGGATGTCATTCTTTGGGTAGAGAATGCTTTCAGAGAATGTTCCTTGTTTATGAGTATTAGAAAGGGGGGGCATTCTAGGACCTCGAGTGGTAAAGCTAGCCTATTGAACATTTTCTGAAGTAATGAATTATTTCTGCAATATTTGGGATTGTGTTAGGAAATGCCTTGTTCCCGGTCAGCGGAAGGTTGTCTACCTAAGTGCCCAGATTTTGAACAAGAATAATCTGCCCTATAGAATAACGTCACATAGCTCTTCAGAAGAACTTCAAGAAAATCTTAGTATATTGAAGAAGCACTCTTGTTGAAGGAACAATTTCACAAATGGACCGGACTTTCTAATGAACCATTTGAACAAGCCCTCTCTTTGACATCAGATTTCCTTCCCGACATAAAACTGTAAAAAAATAATCTGAATTATTACTTCTGTTACAGTGCCATTTTGCTGAAAATATTTTATTCAGGGATTCATATATAATTACCCACCTAATAAAAGGAGCTATTAGGTTGTAAAGATCCTATCCCTTCCATGCTCTTTTAAAATTATGACCTACTCAAGCTTGAAATCAAAGACAGAGCTGAAAGGAATAATTCAGCTGAAACTCTCTTATTGGGTTTTCAAGTCGCCTAACTGATAAATATGCAAATTAGCTCCCTTTTGGCGACTCAGCTGCATAAACAGGGATTAACTCCAAATGCAGCTGAAAATTTAGAACTGAAAAGGGTGCACGCAAAGTGTTCTTAATTTCACCTAGTTCCAAGCTGTAGATAAACATGGCGATAGGAATTTAAAATTCTAGTTCACAATGAAGATGCAGCTCTGAAAAGCATCCACTGGATTTATAATGTGTCAGAAGCATCAAGAGGCACCTTCCTCTCTGCATCTCAGGCAGAGTGTAGGTTCCCTTGACAATAGGGCTTGGTGGTGGCCACTGACCAAAACTGCCCCCTCTGAGTCAGTGAGGAGCCTGTCGTGGAAAGTGACATCACTCAAAGGCAGGTACTGTGTGCAACTGCCTTCCATTTCACTTCCCTTCCTCAGGGCCTGTTCTCAGGGAGTCTGCCATTTCCACAGAGGGTGACAGGGATGTTGGTCAGGAGGCCAAGCAGTGTGTGGGAGCTGGCCACCTCATCCAAGGCTGGCAGCCATGGAGAACTCAGGAAGGGACAGGACGGAGGGGGGGAAACACTTCCGTCCAGACTTCTGAGGAAGATGGCCTTGGTGAAGCTTTGAAATGTCATCACAGTGTGATATGGCACAAAAGCCACCCAAATTGAAAAGTGTCCTATTACAAGCTTAAGCACATAATTATCGTGTGTCTGACAAGATTGCATATTGTATCCTCTTTCAGGAAACAGACTCCTACCGGCAAGACACCACTAGTTGCAGATTTTTATATTCCCGCTCTTCAGACACAAATATTAACCAAGGGCATATTGACAAATGCTTGCAAAAATGGGTGAATTTTATAGCCGCTTGCTAATACCCACCACTGGTGCAAGATGAATGTCTGAGTTACAAAACATAAGCCTTCGCTGCCTTTTGTTGACTTATTTACTTTTTGTGCTGTCAAGAAAACATCCAATCCTTTGGTGCTATGTAGTGAGAGAATTTCCGTGGGCGCTTTGTACTTTGAAGTTGAAAACGAAACAATGAGCTTGCACTGATTTGCCACGGGATGGGACAGGCTTCAATAATGCACTTGCATTTTGTGAGACTAGACCTACAGGAAAAGGAAATGACAGGCCTCGATGAAGGAAAACATAAGCATTAGTTATGACGGTGTGGTCACTGCAGTGGCAAAGACCCAGGACTAGTCTAGCAGCTTCAGCTTTGACATTGCAGTGAAGACGTTTATTTACTTTTGTTTAGGGACCCCATAGTAATCATTGTGAAATTCCTGATGCCTATGAAAGAAGGGACACTTATTCCTTCTGAACCGCTTCAGGATCCTCCGTGAGTGGTCCTGATTGTTGACCTGTACACTGGTTAAGAGTTCTTGGACACAGGTGTGCTGTTTATGGGTAATTGGTATGCTGCAAAGTTCCCGGAAAATACACCTCATCAATTGGGTAATACGTGTTAAAAGGCCGAGCCTGTGATGGCATTAAGTTGCTTCATTAGCCCTTCCAAACTTGCCATTTGTTCACTCAAATCATCCTGTTCATACACCTACAGAAAGAATGAAAACAAAAGTTAGGACAGGTGAACATCAATACATTCCCTTTATGAAGGCAGTGGCCATGTCTAGTTGGTTTACTCTGTATTCTCAAGCATGACACAGTGGCTCATAGCCATAGCGAGAGGCTGTGCTCAGAATAGAAGCATTGAATGAAGATGTCAATAAGAGAGGTGGTAAGGAGAGTAATGATTGCATACTGTTTCACTAACTTCATCCCTGTGTTGAGGAAAAAGCTTTAGAGTGAAAAGAAAAAAAATCTCATTTCACACTGTCTGTGTGGTCTCAGTTAAGTTAGTGAGCCTCTTGGATATACAGTTCTTCTCAGCAACAAAATGATGATTTCTATTTCATAGGCTAAGTATCTTGTAGCATGTTTAGTGACTATCACAGTGGCCAGGACATGGTTCATATTCCATATGTTCTCCTTTTTCCTTCCCATCTCATCCAGCAGGATATGAACACAATGTATATCACCATGTTTCTTTTCTTCATAACACAACATAGGTACATTTTTGTGTGGGAGTTTGATGGGCTTTGCCTTGATCAGTGAAAGGTCTGAAGATTATGGCTTTGTTTTGTGGGTGGAAACAAAATTCTCGCCCCAAACCAGAGTTGGCTATGTGCACAGCACAGTAGTAAAGGCAATCTTATAGCCACCAATATGATTGGTGGGTAAAATGAAGAGGTCAACCTGCAGAAGTCTTAATGAACATATTCTCTATAACAGCTTTTTTCTTTCTTGTCTCAACATACCCTTTATTTTGACTAATGCAGATCTGCCCTACTTGATCATTCTTGGCCATTCATTTGATTCAGTTATTGGGCTAATGAGGCCTGAGTCATGATTTCTAGTTCTGTATAGGACAGAAAGCATTACTCACTACCTGGTCAGAATGTGTATCTAATCCTGCCAAATAAATACTGTTGATCCCAAGAGAACACTGGTGGAGCTTATATGGGGGGTAGGTCCTCACTCACTCTAGTACCTAGGAAACAGCTGAAAATGCATGGTATTAAACTAGTTGAAAATGGTATGTCTTGCAGAAATCTCAGCATGTCAGTGAATGATTTGGTCATATACCATATAATCTCCAGAGCTGAATGGGAATTGAAAAGTGGACAATTTGGCTCAAAAGACTGGTCTACATATGAAGAGTGAGGTTGAAGGGAGGTGATTAGTTGATAACTCATTTCCTAACATGTTTGTTGGTTGTTTTTCTTGAATTATCTAGGTATCATTGTGTAGCACAGCAATCACTAGCCACATGCAGCTATTGGATTTTTGAAATGTGACTAGTCTGATTTGGAATGTGTTATACGTATAAAATACACACCAGATTCTGAACACTTAGTACAAAAAATGTAAAATATCTTTTTAACATCTTTTTAATATTTATTACACAATGGTAACATTTTGGAAATATTGGGTCAAATGAAAGATATTGTTAAAATTAATCTCATTTATTTTTACATCTTTTAATGTGGCTTCTAGGAAATTTAAAATTACACATGTAGTTCATATTATATGTCTATAGGACAGTGCTGATCTAGATTAGTAATTTTACTGCTTTTAATATTATACCTTTGGCTATCACTCCTTAGAATCAAACTTAAATGCATATTGGTTCATCTGACATTACAAGATGAGCTATATTACATAAATTTAGGAATCTGATCTGACTTGAGATATGGCCAACCAACCCTGAGACTAAACAAATATCGTACTAAACAGCCAAATCCTGAAAAGTAGTGCAATGGATTCCTATAAATTTGAATCTTTTTAAAGCATACAAAAAGGTATGTTAATCATATAACATACTTGTGCCAAACATTCACACACATACACATATTCAGTAATTTCCAAGTAGTTAAAATATCTTATTGTTTGCAGTACCGGAAACAATAAAGTTAAGAAAAAAAATTGTACATTCAAATGAGATGATTCTAACCTGTTATTTCATCTTTTTTCCCCCTTTCACTGTGATTTTTCAAGGCACATAGGTCAGTTTTTTGCTCTCCTTTCAAATGCTTTCCCTTGAATTATATTCAGAAACACTCCAGAGTTTTCTAAATTTCTGCTTTTAGGTAGCATCTTTTCAAATCTCCCTTACAATGCATTTGGGGAGAACTATTTTGCTCTCTCAAAATTTAGATTTTTGGTCTCCACTCATTTTCTTTCTGAGTTTTCTTTTTTTTTTTTATTAAATTTTTTTTTCAACGTTTTTATTTATTTTTGGGACAGAGAGAGACAGAGCATGAACGGGGGAGGGGCAGAGAGAGAGGGAGACACAGAATCGGAAACAGTCTCCAGGCTCTGAGCCATCAGCCCAGAGCCTGACGCGGGGCTCGAACTCCCGGACCACGAGATTGTGACCTGGTTGAAGTCGGACGCTCAACCGACTGTGCCACCCAGGCGCCCCATCTTTCTGAGTTTTCTAATGTGATCACTTTTCAGCTTTTTCCTCTAGCTACAAACTTTTCCTCTCAAATAACTAAATAAAGTCACACATTCTGTAGTCATCTGCTTGTGTTTTTAAGATTGCTTTTTGAGTACAGCAGTAGTCACTGCTTCACCTGATGCAGCATAAATTTCAAGGATGGCCTTACATTGGCTGGATCCTCTGTTGCTTTGTGGCTTTCCTCAGATACTTCAGGAGCTGTTGGCACAGATACAGGAAGCAAAGGAGATCTTGCCTTACCAGCCAACCCAAGAGAGGCTGTTTTAACATGAGTCTTGGGAAGAGCAGGCCCTGAAATAGAAAACACAGAGTGATGAAAGTAATGTATAAAACATTCTGGGGAAAAATCTCTCAAGTGTGTAAGCCAATTCCAGTGGGTTGGCATTGATTCTAGGTTATTGTTCATTCTGTAGTATAGAGATGGATTATGACACAATAAATGGGCTCATTTTATTTCTATTGAATGGAAGACAAATTCTGATTAGGTCTCTTCAGATGAATCTTCACCAGTCATATGTAATTTCAAGTGGATTCCAAATCATGCTGTGAAAAGGTTGCCTGGGCATTCCAGACTGTTCATCACACCCTACAAAGTGTCAGTGGAAGTCATTTGGTGCCGGTCTCAGCTTTGGGCCAGAAAGCCCTGTGTTAGCCTGCCTAAATGAAGCCTAAATTGTTGAACAGTACCGAGGGATATTTGTGCAATTAAAAGGCATGGTCACTCCTGGTCTCCAAAGAGTATTAGATGTTATAGTAAAACAAAATCCTTCATGGCTAAACTGATAGAATCTCATTATTAATTCTCTTTTGGGGGGAAAAAAGTTATTCTGTCCTTACCAGTATAGCTTCTCTCAATAAAAGAAATTCTAATGTTCATGAAAATCATTTGTGGGAACTGCTGAGTTTCTACTAGATGACATTTCTGTTATAAACAATGGCTATCTTTTCTTGGGGGATCTGAAATTTGCCTTATAAATCCTGCTTAGCTTATAGCAGTCATATAATTTGTCCTTAGATCCTAAAATAAAAGTTTTATGAAGGCTTACTGAATCAGCTAGTATACCTCACATGCCTAAGGACTTTGTCATTCTTAGCTTTGTAACCAAAACCTCAGCATAGAAGGTATTGAATTAAACCATGGAAAGAAGTTTGCCCAAGTTCTCTTGTATCATCAGTGACATTTGAGTTCTAATGATCCTAACAGTGTATTAATGCAAAATCTGGGGGGAAATTTTTCATTTTGATCATACTTTGGTACACATAATCCTAGTTAATAAAACTCAGAGGTTATTCTACAATCAAAGAAATAGCGCACGCTTGCTTATTGGGAAAAAGTAATGCAAACAGTCTAATAGGCCAGCAGTTGGGTATATGCTAGGCAAAATAGCATGATAAATCATAACAAAGAACCTTTTCTCATCCCTTCATCTTTATATGGCTTGACATGAATTCCTTCATACTTGTTTTCTTTCACTCTTAAACTTCAGGGATCAAAAGTTTGCAGTTGGAGTGATTTATCACTAGAGGGTGATCTTAAGTTTTTGGTAGCTCAGATGAAAAGAAGTACAGAGACAGGAGTATGAATCATTTTCTTTAAGAGAGAATATAATATTAACTGAATGTCTACTAAACTCTAGACCTATGCTAAGTACTTTGTCATTTTAGGCAAAATAACATAGTGGGGAGAATTTGGGATTTATCAGTCTAATCTACATTCAGATCCTAGAAAGTTCAGCTGTGTACTAGCCACGTAATCCCTTGGTTAACTGACTTAACTTTCCTTGCCTGTTTAGTCTTCTGTAAAAGGGGAATGATAATTTGTGAGGATTAAATAAGATGAGGTAATTAAAGTGGTTGGTGCCTATAACTTGTTCAAAGAGGGCAACCTATTATTAATATTTAATTTTCAAAACAATTCTACCAAATGCCATTATTGTCAGTTCATATATGAGAATGCCAAAGTGGAGAGAAATTAACTTACCCAAGCTCACACATTTAGAAAAGGGCAGGCAGAGGAAAGGTTTGTACCAAGATATAACTAACTCCACTGAACAAATTAAGGTTCTATCATTAATGTGTTGATCTAGCCCATCCAATATAACTAACTTGAGGGTAGAAACTATTTATTGTATTATGGTTTCTCATGGTTGAATTGAGTTTTAACATAAAGGGGCAAACAAAATTCTAATAAACCTCTGCATGAATTTAAACTACTTTTATTACAATTCTATTTAAATATATATAAACATAACACATGGCATAGCTTTTATAAACTTGTAGTTCTTATACTGTGCTATTAAACCAAAACACATTTATTTTTTTTTATTTTTAAATTTTTTTTAATATTTACTTTTGAGACAGAGAGAGACAGAGCATGAACAGGGGAGGGGCAGAGAGAGAGGGAGACACAGAATCTGAAGCAGGCTCCAGGCTCTGAGCGGTCAGCACAGAGCCCGACGTGGGGCTCGAACCCACGGACCATGAGATCGTGACCTGAGCCGAAGTCGGATGCTTAACCGACCGAGCCACCCAGGCGCCCCATAAACCAAAACACATTTAAAATCAAATAGCAAAGTGCTATAAAAATAGCACAATTTAAAGTTACATCATTTATTTAATATGACGGATGAGGTAGTTTGGATAAAACAAAACAGCCATATAAATGTGGTACTGACCGCTATGTCAAAAGTCATTTTGGATTTGTCTTATATGCTCAGTTTTCACTACCAATTTCCTCTGGTTGAACAAGAGGCAAACCTTCTTTCTTCTGCAGAATGTAATGCCAGCTAGTCTCCATTGGATATGAACAAAATATTTGTATATTAAATCTACCTCTTTCATTTTTCTCTTTAGACTATGACTATAAATGCAGTGTTCTTGGAGCCAACTTAGTTGTAAACTCAAAGGCAGGAACTAAAACCCCTGGCAAAGTGATGCTATAAAATGGCTCTCCAGATGCTCCAATATATATGGTTGACATTAATATTGTAGATAATTAAGTGAAAGCACAAAGTTTAAAGAGGAATTTTCATAGAGGGCTGGTGAACCTTGAGAAGGTAGCTATTGAACCCCTACTTTGAGTTACAGTTTCTGGATTATGTTTATCTTCCCTTCTAGAATGTTCACCATGCTTTGCTTAAATCTGAGTTTAGCTTTATTGCCACAGAAAGCTGCTTCTCTTAGAAGATTCCACGAGCCACCTCTTCCTTCCCTATATTTAATAGAGTAGGTGCACTTTAAAAACTAACATGGATTTCTGTACATATCCTTATTTACCTTTTATTTTTATCTCTAATTTTGACTTAGGTTTTCTTGATTATGAAATCTACTTATTTATTTTTAACTTTTAGCTTTAAAATTTTTAATAAACTAAACTATGTCTGAAAAATTTACACTCCAACTCTTAAACATATGCAGTGTGTGTCTAATGCATATTGGAAATCAATTCACTTTAACATAGATATCTGCAAAGAGAATGACACAAGAAAAAGTCAGTAACAAAAGCATAGCTTATTGTGTAGGAAATTCAAACAAGCTGTGCCTGTTTCATCCTAGGAAAGATACAAGAAAAAAGATTATTTTAGAATTTGTTAGATTGTTCTATAGAATTCCCTAATATTTATTTGAGTACTTTTTTTTTTTTTTGGTAGTTTTGCATGTGGGGAAATTATAGTTCTCACTATAAAAGTATATTTTGATGGTGTATTTTCTGCCCTGGATCCTAAACACTTGGGGAGATCCACAGTGTATTATACTGCATCTAAAATACTTATATTACAATATGATGCAAGTATGCCTAAAGAGTACCATAATTCACACCTATTATAAAGATCATTATAATAATTGATTTTCTCTAGTGTCCAGGCAACAGTTATACATTCAGAACCTACTGAGTGTTGAACAATATACAAGACACTGCATTTTACAAAAGGAACCAAAGACATTGTTTCAGCTTCAAAGACCACACAGAGTGTTTAAACCTCAAGTGACTGCCTTTTCTCAAGTAATAGTCACAGATTCAAAGAAATTCAGAATGCTGACCCCTTGAGGGCTCTTGGAGTTTATCTAGTGACCTTCCCTTTATTTTGCTGAACAGAACACTGAGGTCCCTGGAGATCAAAAGATCAAGGTTGAATTAAATTCCATGAAATTCCAGTATAGGTGAAGAATCTGAACCCTTGTTTAGAGTTCGTTGTTAATAGGGTTTGTCTGATGTAGTTTATGGCCTTAAATATTTTTCTTTCCCTTTCCTGGATGGGAATTAAGAAAAGAGTATAAGGGATATTTCTGAGGAGGGATTTTCCAGTATCCAAAAAGACAACTTGGGTCCCAAAACTGCCCTTAGGAAAGGGGAGCAGATACCGTAAAACAAAGACTCCTATGAAAACATGCTATATTTGAAAGCGGATGCTCATGTTCTTACATGTGCGCTAGCTCTGTTGCTATGTTATATTTGCATTTGGATAGATTCAGCATTTTCTACTCTGAACCACCGCTGTTTTAAGCCTGGACACTGGTGAAACTTGGGTCCTCACAAGCTCACCAAGTTGAACCTCTTCCCTTACTTACGTACTCGTAGTTCACCATGTGTTACAGGTTCCTGTCTGGATTTTCTAGTGTGCATCCTTATCCTTCCACAGGGCCATGAGACATGCCTTTAATCCTTTACCTTGTGGCTTACTCCAATGGTTAAATTCTGAATTCATTTTCTACACCATTCAAACCAAACAAACATCTTTATATGAAATCACCAGTCTCATGGCATCACCTTGTTCAAGTGAGAAAGCGGCGTAATCATTTAGCATTTGTATTAGAAAGTGATGGCTGGGAGCTCAGTCCAATCTGAAGAGGACACTGGGAGCCATCTTGCTGCTTCTTACCTACTGAGGAATTCCAGTTGTTGAGGGACCATTCCTTCATACTGAAGCTTCCTAGATTTCAGTAACGGCGGAGGTGGGGGGGTGTCTCCACACTTCCTCCATTGCGGTTTGGCCTTTTCTACACTGCCCTCAGAAACCAGTTTAAAAGCCAGCTTTGTTCTTGCAGCCCTGGTCCCCCCTATTCTCTATGTACTCATTCTTCACCCTAGGCTGCCTTTGCTGTACCCGGGGGTATTTGGACACACTAAAAGAGAACCACAATCCTACTCTCCCAAATAACTCATGGAAACAGAAGCAATTAGAGAAACCATGGACATTAGGGTATTGAACTTCTGTTCTTCAATGTTGAGAATGACAGAATTTTTTTTTAAATTTTTTAAATGTTTTACTTATTTTTGAGACAGGGAGAGA